CCCCCCCCCAGCAGGGATTTTTGGAAGGTCCCTGTGAGGTCATTTAGTCCGGCTCTCTCGGAAGCAGTGTAGATGCTGCCCTGAGCCCTGGGCTGGGCTTTCAGTTCATCAGGGCTTCAAGGTCTCTGTGGCTCTGAGGGTGCCGGTCGTGGCTGATAGCTCTTGGGAGGAAGGAGGCACAGGATGATGGCCTTTGCGGTCCGTTGCGTTTGCTTCGGCCCCGAACAGACGGAGAGAAAACCTTCTTGCAAAGAGAGAATGTTTTCCCTCCCGCCATCCTTCATCTGGGATTAAACCAACCGGGGTTAAATTGACACGGATTTGCCAGAGCTTCTCCCCTCCAGATGTTCCAGCCACGGGTTGGAATCTGCCCGTCCACATCTGGAGGGCCCCTTGGAAGGAATGGGGCGGCCGGGGGGGGGGGGGGGGCAGGCGTGTTCGGGGGGGTGTCTCCAACACTGCCCCCTCCCCCGCTGTGCCAGGGGCTGACCACTCCCCTGCTGCCCTCTCCTCCTGTGCAGGCCAAGCAGTCCTTGGCCACCCTGACCAAGGACGTCCCCAAGCGGCACTCGCTGGCCATGCCGGGCGAGACGTTGCTCAACGGGAACCAGGAGTGGGTGATGCAGGCCGACCTGCCCCTCACGGCCGCCATCCGGCAGAGCCAACAGACCCTCTACCACGCCCACCCACAGCACACGGTGGACCGGCAAGGTAAGAGGCGCCCCCACCGCCAAAGCGGGCCCAGGCCTCTTTCGTGAGGAGGGGGGGAGCGAGGGCTGTCTTGACAAAGACCGCCTGGGCCGGAGAGAGAGCCGAGTGGGTCCCCCCTCTCATCTCCCTGCCCGAAGGAAGAGGGGGGGGGGGTTTGCCAGGCATCCCCCACAGGTAGAGAGAGTCCTCGCTTAGCCACAGGTAGGACCAGCGGCTCCGTCGCTAAGCGAGGCATCGCGTCATTGTGACTTGTGATTGGGGCAGCCTGGGACCCTGCATAGTCCTCAGCGGTTGCTAAAGAGGGCAGTTGCTAAGTGAGGCCAGCTGTAGGGCAGACCCTGCGGGCGGAGGGGCCGTTTGGGAGCAGGAAATGGGGGTCCCCGGCTCTGCTGAAGTCGCAGGTGCGGCCCAGCCCTCGGGGAGGAGGAAGGGGGTCATCTTCCTCATGCAGGTCATGGGAAGCAAAGGGGCATTTTGAGGCCGATAAGTGGACAGAGAGGTCCCGAAGTTCCGTCATCCATGATGGGCCAAGGAAAGCTCATTGTTCTTAGAAATAATGAAGAAAGGGAATAAATCTCTGCCCACTTTGCTAAACCCCCCCCCCCCCCACACACACCCCGGGATTCAGAAGGTGTGAATTCCGGCCTCCCGGTCTTGGTCAGTTTCGCCAGCAAGGCCGAGTGCATCCTCTCACCCTCCCTCCCCCTCACGCCCCCCTGCCCGCTCCTCCCTTGCATTTCAGGGGTCCGGGTCAGCCCATGCCACTCGCGGCAGCCGTCCATCATCTCCGATGCTTCGGCAGCCGAAGGGGACCGGTCGTCCACACCGAGTGACATCAACTCGCCTCGGCACCGAACTCATTCCCTCTGCAATGTAAGACGCGTCTGCAGGTCATTGGCTGTTCCTAACTCTTGGTTTTCCAGCCTGGGAAGGGGGGGGGCTCAACCGCTGCCTTTGGTGGGAGGGGGCTGCTTTAAAGGGACACAGAGCTAAAAGGAGGAGGACCCCAAATCTTGCACCCCTTCTCCCGAAGCAGAAGAAGGCGGGTGCCTGCCAACCTCTGAGCGGGGGCGGGGCGGCGGCTTTCGTCCCCTCAGGGCCAAGGCTCCGGTTGTGCGAATTCTCTCCCCTGCAGCCGGGTTCGCGCTGGGAGCAGAGGCTGTTCCCTGCCTTAAGCCTGTTTTGGGGCACAGGCTAAGCCGTCCCGGCCAGTTGTGGGTGGCAGCATATCCGCACCCTGTCAGGGAGCAGGTTACGGCTAGGTAGCCCTCCTTCCTCCGGCCGTCCCTCCTTCATCGCTTCCGTTGAGAGAGGGAGGTGGGCTGAGGTCAAAGGGATGGGAGGCCGCCAACGGCGCAGGCAGGCAGTCCTCGGCTGAAGGCCATAACGGAGCCAAGTCCGATCATCCCATGACCAAGCAGGTTTTACGGCCTCTTTTGCGGTGGCTGGTCGTAAGGCGAGGACTCCTCTAGTCCCACAAAGAGCATCGGGGCGCTTTCCCCTCCTTGCCTGCCTCTTCCATGAACTCCAGTAGCGGTTCCATAGGGGCCACAGGGGCCCAAGAGGGCGCAAGGGGGAGCAGGCAACGTCACCCCCGTGGGTGGGTGGGTGTGATGGGTGCCATATTTTGTACCGAAAATGCAGGCTGACGTGTCTCTCCTTCCTGGCAGGGAGATAGTCCTGGACCGGTACAGAAAAATCTGCACAACCCAATTGTCCAGGTAGGTTCTGGGCTCCTCCCCAAAAGTTTGGGTTGGGGGTGGGGGGGGGGGCGTCAGCGAGGCTGCAGGGCTGCAGGTGTGGGAACCCAGCGTCCGCTGTGCTCCTCCCCCCCGCCCAGTCTCTAGAGGACCTGGAAGACCAGAAGCGGAAGAAGAAGAAGGAGAAGATGGGCTTCGGCTCCATCTCGCGGGTCTTCGCCCGAGGGAAGCAGCGCAAGTCCCTGGACCCCGGTGTCTTCGACGGGGCGGCCCCCGACTACTACATAGAGGAAGATGCAGACTGGTGACCGGCCGCCCCCCCTCCCGCTCCCGGTGCGCGTGTGAGTGTGTGTCGGGGGGGTGAGCCTCCAGTTGCGCCAAGGCCCCGAACCTGGCTGCTCCCACGTGGCCCTCCTGTGGCTCCTGTACATAGCCCCCCCCCACTCCTGTGTACGAACCCCTTAACTGTCGTCTGTTGAGCGATGCTGCCCGTGTTGTGTAGGCCTCCCTGGTCCTCCTGGGAGTGTTTGGTTGATTTCCTTCCTCCTCCTCTTCCTCCTCTCCCACCAGTTTTTGTTTTCTATTCTCTGCCCTTCCCCCCCCCCTTTCTTTCTACAAAACTTGAAAAACTTGAAGGACTGCTGCGCATTTGTAAATAGCCGCCACCACCATGGTGCATTTTGTGCTTTGTAAATGTCTCCTGCTCCCCCCCCCAACCCCCCCCGCCCCCCAGAACCCCCTCTTCCCTTCCGGGGGGGGGGGGGCAGCTGGTGTTTCCTGGGCTTTCTGGGCGGGGCAGCTGTGGACACATTGCCCTCAATTGGGGGACAGCCTTGGGTAGCCTTCCCAATTCTACTACACAACCTCCGGTTGAGAAAAGGACCCCATGCTCCGAGGTCTCCGGTGTCTCCAGCATCTGGAGAACAGCAGCCCCCCCTCCCCCCCGCTGGCTCTGGGGCCGCCGACAGGGTCCCTCCGTCCGGCTCTCTCACCTCCGGTGCCCCCTTGGCAGTGCCCGAGAGGGAAGAGCTGCCAGCCGTGGTTTGCACCCTCCGCCTAAGGAGAGCTGTGTCCTTCCCACCTTTTCCCTTTTCCCTGCTGAGGTGGCCGTGGGGCCTCCGTGGGGCTGCCTGGCGATGCCGGTGCTGCCGGCCTCCTCAGGGTCCTGCTTTTCATTCTCTCCCAAAAGTCCCTCTGAACTCGGGCCCACTTCCCAGCCCCTCCTCTTGTCCGCCATTCTGATGCCCTTTTCCCTCTTTCAGGCTCTTGGGAACAAACCCGCCGGAGTTCCTTGGGCCTCCTTCGTGGCCGGAGGGCAGAGCCGGATGGGCTCTTGGCCGGCCCCTTTTGGGCTCTCTGTGCCAGGCAAACTGCCCCCTTGTGCCAAGCCAGGTGCAGCTGTTACACACACCTGGGGAGGAAGCAACCTAGAACTACGGAGAGATTTCCTGACAGTTAGAACAGTTCATCAGTGGAACGGCTTCCCTCCAGAAGTTGCAGGTTTTAAAGAAGAGATGGGACAATCATTTGTCTGAAGTGGCTTAGGGCCTCCTGCTTGACCTCCCAGGTCCCTTCCAACTCTGTTAGTTATTCTGTTAGTAGAGGAAGTGAAGCTTCTGGGGTCAACCCAGAGCCTTAACAGGTGTGTGTGTGTGTGTGTGTGACACAAAATAGGATGTTCCCATTTGGGCCAGGGTGCTTTGAAGGGCCTCCTAAATGTCTCAGTGCCAAATTCTTGGTGTGTGTGTGTGTGTGATTGTGTGTGATCCAGAGGGTCCACCTTCCTTAGATGGTCTAAATGCATTTTCTCATCCTTCGCCTTATGGGAAACCCGGGGCTTTTTCTCAGGAGGGGGGCGGGAGAGAAGCGTCTGGGGGGGCGGGGGGGGGGTCCTCTGCACGTCCTTCAGAACAGGCATGGCAGCTTCCCAGCCAGAAAATCCCAGGGAAGCCTCCGTGGCTTTGGGGGACAGGGAAGGGGCAAAAATCCCACGTGTGGATGGGAGACTGAAGGCCAGCAGACACACAAGTTCACAAACTCTCCCCACCACACACACACACACACACCCTAGCATCTCCCATCTCCCAGAAAAAACAGGCTTGACTTCCCCAGCTCAGTGCGGGAAGAATGTGAAACGGGAGGAGCCTTTTCAGGCAGGTGTTTGGAAAAGGAAGAAGTGGTCAAAGGTGTGCAAGGACACAACTCTTCCAGGGCTGTGCACACACACACACACACACACACACGCCCAGGGTGCCCCCAAAAGTTTGCCCCTGGGACGTGGCTGAACCTCTTCAGGCCAAACTGGGGTGGCTGCTGTTGCTCCCTCTCTCTCCTTCTCCCTCTCTCTCTCTCTCCCTCTCGTTCGTTTTTAATGCATACTCATTTTAATTCCTTTATCCTTTTTTTCTCATTTTCCTCTTTTCCCCATTGTTTAATTTTAATTTATTTGCACAATGCAGAAGATGTATTCTAACTAAATTATTACGTAAATATTGGAATTTATATTTTTCCACATCGGGTGGGGATTTTATGAATGGGTGGGGGGTTTTCTTTCTTTCTTTTTGCTTTTGGCTTTGTTGTGCACATGAAGGCTCCACAGAGCGAATCGCAGAGTGATGGTTCTGTGCCGAGAGAACGAATCTGATTCAATCGTTTTTCCTCTCCCGCCTCCCCCTCCCCCCGCCCTCCCCGACCCTGGGGAAAAGGGGCCTCCGGATTTGCTAGGCACCCCCCACCTCCCCATCCCACACACAGGGAGATGTCAGTGCTGCCACAGGGACCCAGGCCTGGCAGGGAGGCGGGCGCCGGCCTGGGCAGTGGCCTTGCCCCTCCTCCGTCTCTCCCCTCTAACCTGGCCAGAGAGCACCCTGCCCTCCCCCCACCCCCCTTCGTCCCCTTAGCTTGCCCATTGTCCAGGCTAAGGAGAGCCCACCTGCCACAGGACGGGATGTCTGTCAGAGGATCCGGTCCTGCCCACGTTTCAAAGTCCCAGCACAGAAGGTAGGTTGCAGCTCTGCAGACACACGCACGCACACACACACACTTTGCTGTGCCTTGTGTGCTGGGCTTCGGAGCCGGGCTGTGCCCACAGCAGAGACTGAGGCTGGGGCAGATTTGGTGGTGTCCCCTTTGCTGTTTTTTTAAATGATGGGCATCTTCTTGACGAGCCTTAAGGGAGATGTGGGGGCTTGCCTCTGCATGGCCCCCCTCCCAAAAGTGACCGAGAGGCTCTTGGTCAGCATTAGCACTTAGGAGAGGAAGGGGCTTCCCTTTTCCCTGGCAGGTGGGTGCCGTAGCTGTGAGGAGGAAGGTCAAAGGTCCAGCCTGGCCAGGGGAGATTGGGGGGGGCTCATTCTGGAGAGAAGCATCGACTGAGTTGGCCGCGGATGGGGATCTGGGTGAGGGGACAGCCGCCTTCCGGTGCCCAGGAGGGCCACCTTGGTGCTCTTCCAAGGCCAGAGGCCTCTCTCCTGCAGCTCCTGCTAGCCCTGGCAACCTCCTTGCCCCCCTCGCATAACTCGAGTGGCCCAGGAAAATCAGCTTTTCCCACACGGCTTGTTGCTGGCCTGCACTGAGCCTGCCTCAGCAGGTGGAAACATCTCCCCCGGCTTCTCTCCTCCGGATGGGGAAGAAGTTCAGCTCCCCCTCCTCACCTCAAGCCTTTGAGACTTGGGTGGGGGACACACCCAGAGCCAGACCTGGAAGCAAAGGCACTTTGTCCCCGGCTGGCAGTCAGGATCCCAGGGCACCGGATTTCCCCCAGGGATGCCTGGTGGCCCAGAGGTGCCCATAAGTTGGCTGTGGGCAGAAACAGGCCTGGGTGGGCTGGAGGGGCTCGGGCACCTCCCTTCGGGATGCTGGGCAGGTTCTGGGCCAGCAGAGATGCTGCTTTGGGGGCAAGTCGCTTCCCCGCCACAAGCATTCAGCCTCGCACGCTCACAGCCTGGTGTGTAGAGCTCTTTTCAGGTAAACGCCTGGATGGTTCCTTGAGGAGACCGAATGTTGCCCCCAAAGGGGATGCCAGGAATGACGTTCTCCTTGGGGATAAGGACTTGCGAGGCAGGCAAGGGGGGGGGGGCACTGGGGAGGGGTCACGCGGGGGGGGGGGGCAAGGCCAGACCCCCGGATCGTCATGGAGGAAAACCCCTCCCTCTCTGTGGGTGCCCGGAGCCTAAAGCGGCTGAGTCTCCAGGCGCACAAATCTGAACTTTTGTGAGGCTCCACTTACAACGCAACGTTTCCGGACTGGGAAAGGGCCCTGAACACGTCGACCCACACCTGGATTTTGCTAAATACTTGTTGGATCCGGTCTCCTTGTTTGAGCTGAAAGGGAGTTCAAACCGGAGGAAATGGGTGCAAAGACCCCATGACGTGACACCAACTTCTTCATCCCAAGAATTGTGGGGTGAGCATAATTCCTGCCTTGGTGGCACCTTTGCTCCAACTCCTTCGAGCCGAGCAGGTGGGCTACAACTCTCACCTGCCTGGATTTTTCTGCCTGGAGCCGTTTAGAGGAAAAGGGCTGGCGTTTTTTTTATTCCTTGAAGTTCGATTAGGAAGCGCGCACGCACACGCATGCCCTTCCATGAAAAGGAATTTCCATTCCTTCCATCGTGACGTGGCTTCCCAGGCTCAGTGGCAGTTCAGCAATTCTGGCTTGCTGTTAAATAAGCAAACCAGTAGGGGCTGCCACCCCCAGCCCCCCCATTTTATTTTGGCCATGCTTCCCCTCCCCACTTTTTCTGCTCCTTTTCTGCACAGCTGCTGCGTCGTTTCAGAAGATGGAGCTCGGCTGTGCTTTCCTGCCCCTTCACGGCTTCCTTTGAGGATATGGTAGCCCTCCGGACAGGCTGTTTGGGAAAGGAAGGGGTCTCGTGTGGGCCATATAAATCTGATGATTGGTACCCTGAGTTGCTCTGGAGGAAGTGAGAGTAAGGCTGGCCCAGGTAGGTTGCAACCCCTGATAGGGCGAGGTTAAGGTTAAGCGTTCCCCAGAGAGACCTGAACCATTTAAGGGGGTGGGGTGGGCAGGATTTCACCCTCCCTGCACTGCCCGGGGCTCACACCGAAAGGCTGAGCCACTTCCTCCCCTCCCTTTTAATTGGAAATAAAATTGGAGGCACCAAAGCTCCAGAAATGCATTTCTAAGTCATTCTCCTTTCAGTTTTCCATCTTTCCTTCTTTCCTTCCTTCCTTCCTTCCTTTCTTTCTTTCTTTCTTTCTTTCTTTCTTTCTTTCTTTCTTTCTTTCTTTCTTTCTTTCTTTCTTTCTTTCTTTTTCTTTCTTTCTTTCTTTCTTTCTTTCTTTCTTT